ATGATTATTTTTCTCCGAGTACAAGGCGCTCTCTCGGAACATCTTTCTGTCACTTTTCGTCCAATTTTCGATGAATAAAAATGTCCGAGGATTTTCCATCGCTTCTCGCTATATCATATACCATCTTTTACTTTTTCTCCCTTCTTATTCTTGACATTTTTATATCCTCCTTTAAGAAATATCACCGGCAAATACGTTGATATACATTGATACTTATACGTAGATCCTAATATTACTTGTGATTTCGTTCGCGAGTGCCGCAAGAAAATCAAACGCGATTCGATGTTACGTTTGAACTTATTCGCTTGAATCGCGAATCGCATTCACATCTCATACGTTATTCTTCCTTTTGACAGCTAAGACAAAGGCTCTTCAGCGTAGCTTGTTAAAAATATTATGTGAACATTACTCGTCTCACCATCCGATAATACCTTCTAAGATTCTATTAAAAAGAAACAAGTATCTATCAATCTATCCTAGCAAGTTCAGTTCATGAGTGCGCAAGTACGTGAGTTTGACGTTGCAAAGTATGGCAGAATGAGAGAGAAACCAGGATGGCAGTCATGTAAATAGGCCACCGGCATAATTTATACCCGTCACGGAGTGGAACTTACCAGGATCCAAACTGGCGTTGGAAAAGCTACGGAATACGGCAATACGGCTACGGGGATATTGTGGTAGCCGTGTACCGCAGTCACGGTCTTCCATTCGAGTTTATCGTTCGCAGATTCCTTCCTACCGTTCTTTCCATCTACGAACAGCGATGCATGTCGTTTCCCTTTCGTCGATTTCTCCTTCCTACTTTACCTTGCTTTTTAACCATCCTTTCGCAAACCTTCCAAGTAGGTAGATACACAGTATCGTCGAACTTGCAAAAGGTGAATACGTGCGGAAGGATCGTCGAACGAGCGTGAAAATAAAAATGGTAAAACGTCGCCTGTGTTTTTTAAAGTTTACGCGAGGCGAAAGAGAGCGAGAGCGAGAGAGAAAGAGAGAGAGAGAGAGAGAGAGAGAGAGAGAGAGAGCGGAGCTTCGATAGAAGTAAAGCCATTCGATTTTTAACTTCCAAGGGGAAAAGGCTAGCGTATCTATTACTTTCATACTTTCAGCGTCTCGAGTTTCTTACTTTTTAGACGAATTTCAACTTGCATACGATTTTTCGTCTCTCGTAGGAAGGAGTATCTTATCGTTAGCGCGAATCTAAACGTGACATATCTCGTGCTCGACTACATTTTCGTTCCTCTAGCGTTTCAAAACCGCGTTTCTATGTTTCCGGATGCGACGGCAGTGACTCGTGATTTAATGGTTACAAGTTACTCGCGCGATGGAATTTATTTGCTCTACGGGCTTCTATTTGATTTCCATCGGAAAATGTTTTTGAAAGAAGGAAAATGAGCAAAGAAAATCTTTAGAAAACATTTAGAAATTCCATTCTCTCGTAACGAGTTTAACGATTTCATTTATTTTCACTGAACATATATAAAACATTTTTCGTGCCAAATGAAATACGACAAGAGTCCTAATTATGAAGAGCGAAAACGGACGGCGAGATTTTGGTTGCAGGATAATGAAATATCCCAGGCGCGACAACGAATGGAGGTTTAATCGACGATCAAGTTAATCCGACAATGTCGTTGCCCGCAGAAACAGTGGATGATTGCGGTTCGTAAAGTGTTGTATCCCGCGCCACACCCCTTTCGCGCGTACACGCGCCAACTCACACGTTTCTCCACGCGCGTAATAATCTCCCATCAGAGTCTGTATATTAATTTTGAAAAGCCGCCTCAATGCGATCAAACGAGCGCGTAATCGCTCGTAATATTAATTTATTCCTCTCTTTCTCTCTCTCTCTCTCTCTCTCTCTCTCTTTCTCTTTGTTCGATACGCTCGAAAGACTATCGAGGGTCCTTCTAAACGATCGTAAGGCAACGTAACGTGGTCATGATTTCTCGTTATTATGCTCGATCTCTTTAATTTAATTCCTTTTGCCGAACGAAGAAGATTCTTTCATGATATTTCTTATTTGCAACAATCGGGCAGGTCGGCATATACGAAATCGTTAACCTTAACGAAACCACTCGACACGACCGGTTAAAGCTTAAATGCCTATATCTGGACGAATTCCAATTCGCGCGATAAGGATCGAGCGGCGCGAATAATCGTTCGGACTATCGTTTGGAACAAAGGAAGAGCGAGCCACGGCCGCGAGCACCGTCGCGAGCTTTCCACCCACCCGATCGAAATTCGGGTCATTCTCGTTCGTAGCTCGCCATGTTCATTCGCCGTGAGAAAATACGTTTTCCTTGAGGGAAATGCAGAAAAAGAGAAGCAAGAAAAAGAAACGATTTCAATTCGTTTAGAAACTCGATCCTCCTTTCTTTTCGAGTCTCGAGGCAGATAGCGACGACGATGAAAGATATTAGATGAGTATACGAATGATGCGGCAAAGACGGATAAAAACTAAAGTACGAGGCAAAGCAAGCCAAATAGAGAAAAAAAGTAAAGAAAGGGATAGAAGAGAATGAGCAAACTTATTTAACCTTTCTCCGTCTCGTAAATAAACGCGCATAAAAGACGTAAAGCGGATAAAGCTCGATTTTCTATTCTCCGCGTAATTTCTTTTTTCATCAAGGTTTATGCGTAAAGGTAATGTAAAAGAGAGAAAGGCTTAGGGAGGGGAGGGGAGGCAGAGAGAGAGAGAGAGAGAGAGAGAGAGAGAGAGAGAGAGAGAGAGTAACATATCTGTTCGTCCAGCGCGCAACGCAGTGCCGCGCAAAGTAAAAAAAACTGGGCCAAAGCAAGGAAGAGCAAAGCAAAGAGGCGCAGGATAGTCGAAGCAGGGCGAGGCAACGAACACGATTCGGTAATGGTGGTGGTGGTGGTGGTGGTGATGGTGGCGCGCGCGCCTCGAGCGGAGCTCGTAGCGAGCTATGACGTCATTAGGAGCGTCACACCGACACCCCTTCCACCCTCGATCAATGACGCGACCTTGCCACCCCTTCTTTCGCACCCTCCTCGCGCGGCCCGAGCCGTCCCAGTACTCAAAGGGGCGGCGGCTGTTTCTGCAACCTGGCAACCCTCTCTATATTTAGCTTCCATTTCAGCCCAGTCCTCCTCCGCCACCACCACCGCCACCGCTATTCTCTCTCTCTCTTTCTCTCTCTCTCTCGCTCTCTTGCGCGCGCCTTAGCGCGTAGCGGCCGGCCGATATAAACAACGCTCTGGCGCAGGCGTCGAATTTCTCGCAGCCGACCGGACCGACGCCCGATCAACCAGAGACGACAAAAGGACTCGAGGTATCCCTCTCTTCTTTGCCCTCTTCTTACTCTTCGCGGCTATCCTACTTGACTCTCGTTGATTCAACGCAGAAACTTACTAGACTCGATTGTACGAAGGAAAATTCGTACTAAAAGTTTCTTCTTCTTACTTTTATTTCTTTTTTCGTTATCGAGATTGTCTCGATAAGATCGACACGGGCGAGGCAGATTTGTTGACGCTAGTTATAGCGATGGTCGTTGCTTCTAGAGAAAAGTTTTGGAGGTGCGGCGCTCCCGACGCAAGAGGGAACGACCTATGCGCACAGCTTGCATCGTGCGAGCTTCGATTATGACGTCGTTTCCACCTCCGATGTATCCAATTGCATGGAAGCGTAATTGATCGTCTACCGATATCGATTACCTACACTTTCTTGATGTCATCGATTTCGTTCGTCGGTTAATTTAATCATCATTTTTTAATCACTTTGATTTCGCAAGTATGAACATTTTCCCGAAAGAAAAATAATATTTGACACAGGCTTTATTGTTCGGATATCTTTTAGACAGACATACGCGAGTACGAAAGTTAAATTACACGAGTAACGTGATAATATTTAATCGTTTGAACGTTGACAGCGCACTAAATTTCGCTGTTAACGCGATATATTGCCTTGTAGTATCGCTAATATCGATGATTACGGATAGTAACAATTTTTCATCGTAGCAACACGAGTTTTTCACTTTGGGTGTTAATTTCTCTTCGCTTCGTCTCTCTTAAAAGGTTGAAGGAACCTTTTCTTAGTTTATTACACAATAAGGAGAGGGTGTCGTGTACCTTATTAACGACGGTAACTTTGGAAACGGTTATAATATGTTGACGCGTTATTTATGTCATTAGCAGCATTAGTTGCGATTTAGAAGCGGTTGATTGGTGCGCGCGCGTCTCTTTATGATCTTTCACACGCAACAACCTTTTATGACGTTGTTCAACAAGACAGACAATCGGCGTTTCGTACGTATGTACGTACGTACGTGTCGTAGGCGATAAAAAGAGAACGCAATAGCTTTTACGCTTTTCGTGACCGATATCGCAAGTAATACACGTTATAAAATATCGTCGCATTCGCATAGATTCAGGGCACACGAATTTTCATGGAATATTAATATTTATTTCCGGACGTCGCGGACGTCAGCCCTCCGGTGACGTCATCGGTGCTCTTAAATAACTATAGTTATATCGTTAACATTTATCGAATATAATTAGCGAATATAATTAGATAATCGGCTACGACGTCGTTGTGATGTACTCTACGCGAAATCCCCTAAATTTCGTTACACAGAACGGTGTGTTTATTATCTAAGGGATGTATTTGCCGAGAAGGAGAAAAATTATGTAGCCGGTGCAAAATTAGGTAAATTGGGTCGAGCTGCGTTAAGTGTATTTGAAGTAGCCTCACTCGGCGATAGTAGATAATGAAGATAGAAGAAACTCGGGGAATACTTTGCTCGAGGCAAACTATGAATGTTTGCGGAGCAGAATAACTCGCGACTCGTGCGTCGACCGAATGATGTGCAAATATACTAGATTATCGCTAAACATGGCTCTAAGATGACCCTACAACTTTATTATTATTATTATTATTATTATTATTATTATTATTATCTTTTTTTCTTTCTTTTTTGTTTGCTTTGTTTGCTTTATATGGTCTTGCGTTCGAGTATAATGCGGCATAAAACCGGCTACAAAAGTGCGCTAGAATTTCTGACTGTCTCTTGCATAAATCATTAAAAGTGGTTCCGCACTGCAGTCTCACGACTTGAAGTAAGAACGTACCCTTTTCTCTTTTCCTTTGTTTCTTCTTTTTTTTCCCCTTTCTTTTTCTTACCCGTTTCATTTCGCGCAAAAGAGACTAATTTATTGTAAGAGTGTATGATTCTATGCTTGCGAATTGTCGATTATGAAGTTTAAACTAACGGAAAGGAAGAGATTGATTGAAAGAGGATAGGAGGAGAAAGATTTTTACGTTTAAATAAACGATCCTGTATTGTGACAAATTTAATTGATATACAACGGTTTACAAGGAATTTTTCATCGCATCACGCCACGGATTGGTACGGGAGATGACGGAGGATATTCGAATCGAAGAACAAGCGTGAATAAAACGCAATGACAAGTGGAATGGACAAACTGGAAGACGCTAGTTTTGTTCTCTTGCTTTCTGTCTTCTCTTTGATTCGACACATCCATTCTCCCTTACAACGATACTAACTTTTTCTTTCTTTAAGTACGTATTTCCGTTCCGAAGGTATGTCCTGTTAAATTTGTTTCTTCTTTTTTTTTTCTCCACAATGCATCTTCTTTACGTGTCTTTCTTCGCGATCGCGTCACTTTGGATATTTCTTAAAAGTGATGTTAAAAGCGGGATAGTCTCGGCAAAACTGTCGAAGGATTGAGGGTATTTTTTTGTTTTTCTTTTTTTTTTCTTTTTTTGGTTTTTTTATCCTTTTTTTGTTCTTCTTTTTTTGTTTTTGTTTTTTTTTGTTTTTTTTTTTTTTTGTTTTTTTGTTTTTTTTTTAAATATCGAAGCTACATGAAGATACAACGGTGAGGAATATGTAAAATAATGTTTTATTCCATCCGCATGTTAACTCATACCGGATGTGAGTGCGCAAAAGAATTGCGCTTTGTGTCAGTCCCCGCTTTGCTACTGGACCGATCAGTTATATAATTTCTTTCATTATTTTCGATTATCCCACAATGTTTACACTTATCTTTAGACGTAGGGTAAGGTTGAAAATCTGCACGATTAAGCGGAGACTCTTACTCGCCGACGATATTTATTTAAGTGAACAAAGATAGTTGATGCGTGAAGGAGGAACGTCATGGAAAGAAATGATGTTGGCTCTTAGAAAATTACATAAATTACTTTTCGCAACGGCGCGTTGGGACGGTACGCGGGGATTTTCTTGTTTTGTATTTCTCTGTGTTTTTGTCGCATTTCATTCTTGCGTTTATTCACCAAGGTAAATAGAGGATAGAAAAAGTTTACGATGAACATCAACACGGAAATCGTTCGCAATGACGACGAAAACAACGCGACGATTACAACGCTTTGTCATTCTGAATCGAGCATCGAACGTAGTAGCTTCCTACGTAAGCGAGACGCTTCGAGAAGCAGAAAATTCTTCTATTTATAATAGAGCAGCATTTATATTCGTTTATTCGTGGATTACTTTGTTGCAATTCTCATTTTTACACTTATCCCGATAAATAACTTCGTTTGTTTTTTCTTTCTTTTTCTTTTTTTTCTTTAGCAATCTTCGAAGATCCGCTCGCTTACGTAATCGGACGTATTCTCGCTCTCGTTGCACGTAAACAAGTACGCTCGTATACGCGCACACACGGAGATAATTTGGCATTGCGTCAAGGTAATCGTGACAATGTTTTTATCGCCTTTTCCGGACGAGTCTCTCCGTATCTTCATTTTTTTTCGTTTTTCTTTTTTTTTTTTTTTTTCTTTTTTTTTATTCTTTCGCTTATTTAAACACATCACGCACGACGTTTATCATTAGTTTTAACGATCTATCTTTAAACCGATACGTATGTTATCTATCGTTTATTAATCGTTGATAGATAACAATGAATCGTAATAAGAAAATCTGACGATATGATAGTTAGATCGCAACGCATGAAACTGGATCAAATCGATTATCTTCGATTTTTCACTCTTCGAATGTTGTTAAGATGGAAAAAAAAAAGAAAGATCTCGCGAACGTCCCACAGAAAATGATATCTTGCTCGTTTTTTCTTTGGTATAAACGACGATATTTACATTGGAAAAACGTAATGGTATTTTGTCAGATCGTACATATTTTTGGCGAACAATATTCGATATTCAGTTACACACGTCGCGGCTCATGCCGAATTTATCGTTCGATCTCTTTCGTCGTCCGGTCCCCTTGCTTCGACGGATATTTCGTGAAAAGACGGAGAAAGATAAATAAAGAAAACGTACAGCGTCGTATCGCGAACGGAATCAAAAAGGTCCGCGAAAGTTTGCGTTCTCGACGATGTATCAAGTAGGTACGTACTCTACGTGCGACAGCTCGAATGACTATAAATCAATGGACAGTATAGCGAACGCGTGGTTCCGCACGACGTAAGATATCGTCTTTTTGGCACTAAACCCTTGGCCTTGATGATTAATTTTGGAATCGGGGATCTCGATGAACCGGACCGACGTAAAATCGCTTCTTCCCTTTAATTCGTGAGAAACGAGTAATCCAGAAATTCCAAGAAAGAAGAAATTTTCTCTTATTTTACGAGCTACGTCGAATTTTCGGATTGCCACGAGATCGCATAGAAGATCGATATAGGTACTCGTATAACGCCTTTACACGATCAATCTAAACTCACTCACCCGATTCAGAAAACTAACGCACGACGCTTCTTTCACGCTCATTCTATTCTGTTTATCTCTCTCTCTCTCTCTCTCTCTCTCTCTCTCTCTCTCTCTCTCTCTCTCTCTCTCTCTCACTCACACAATTCGCACGATCATATACATATTACCTTTAATAAACGTCTATAGGTATATATTTTTATGTAATGTATAGACTATTACATTCGCAACACACACGCTCGACGTGATTATACACTTTGTTAGTGAAAAAATTCTCATGGATCCAACGGGGGTACGCGATTCTTTTTAAGCTCGCACTGCACAAAATAGTTTGCACTGGTATACCATACTGAAGTAGTTGATTCATTTGCAATAAGAATAACTAGCAATAATAATAATAATAATAATAATAATAATAATAATAATAATAATAATAGTAATAATAATAATAATAATAGTAATAGTATATTCGTGTCACGATCGGAGACGGTTCGTCCTCTGTCGTATTTATTATTTTGGCACGTGACAGCTTCTCTCGATCCTCTTCCTTTTTTTCTTTCTTTAAATTTCTCCCCTTCTCTTTGATCTCGCTGATATTGCGATCAGCGTATATTCGACGTAAGGATCTAAGCGTACGTCGAGTAATGTTATAGAGTTAATATCATTAACTCTATAACATTATTTTTCCCATTGATATCTTACTTTGTTCTTCTCTTGTTAATGGCAGTTAATATGACGAATATCATTTTATTATATGGTTGCACATGCACCCACCCCAGGACCATCGTACTACTATAGAATTTTCGATTTTTTCGATTTCTTTTGATTTCTCTATTTGATTCTCATACAATTATTTACAATTTACAAACGCGTTCTCGTCCGAAGACACGGAGAATAATATTGCATTTCCGAATGTTGATTCCGTTTTCGTCTCTCCGATGACACGCTTAATGATGAACACATCGCAAGAACACACGCCGTGTATTTCGTCCATAAATTTTGGCAGTGTAATTTTATGTAAAAAGAAAGAATCGCCATAAAGCAACGTTCTTTACTATAACTCTAACGGGTTCGTAAACGTAACGAACTTATCAATTATTAATTTGATCGAATGTAACGTCAGGAAAAAATCAAAAATTGTATTTAACAATTAGATTTGAAGATTTCTCGTTGATCGGTATCGGTGTGATTTCGATTTATAATTGTAAAGGAATGTTGCTCTATGGGGTAGAAGGAATATTCGTTGCGAAAGAGAAAACGGAGAGATGAAGAAAACGTTGAATCTTCCTTCGGAAATTCGGCATATTTTTTAGCGTTAGGTGCTCATCTTTATTTCTCTTTTGATTTATTCAGGTGACGTACTCGGGTTTACCGTCGCGCATGGTCCAGTGTCGCGGTGAGACCGGCGTCCAAGGAACCGCAACGTCTAGCGTCGCGACGCTCGACGTTCTTCGCGGAAACCTCGAGAAAACCTTCTTCGGGCTCTTCGGTGGTGAGTCTGCGAAGGTGACGCTTCTTCTCGGTGGTCTTCTAGGCGGCGGCGGCGGCGGCGGCGGTGGAGCCATTAATGGCGGCGGCGGTGGAGTCGGCAACGAAATTGCTGGTGATTCACCTGCCGAACTGTCCGAGTAACTTACACCTGAGTATGCGTATTGCTGTGCACCTGGTCGCCCTCGGTAGTCCCAATCGCGTTTGCTGGGGCGTAGTACTGAAAATTCATTCGTTAACACAATTCATTTCGTCTTCAATCAACAACAAATTTTTTCTCGTTCGTGGAAAGTTATTTCTTCGTAATCATTCTTTCCAAGGGAATGTTTTCAGAAACAGAGCCATTATTCATACGAGCGAAACAACTTTTACTACTAGAAAATGTATATTTCAAATTTCTTATACATTTTGAAGGTTTCTTTGAGAAAATTCGATTTACTTCACACGAACGTTTCTGGCTTCTCGACTTCGAAAAATCTCGAACGAATATTCGACAGAGATCTTTCCTTTTATGATAAAATCTTAGATGAAAAACAGTTTCGTGTTTGTATACATATATACTCTCTTTTTCTTTTTCTACGAAGCTTACGATCATTAAAAGCTACATGCAATGCGTCATAAAATGTTCCACTCGTGACGCGCTAAGAGCTTGCTCGAAGCCATGCGAATTATGCGCAAATAAGCTAAACTTTTCGATCTTTGCTTGGGAAAAGATTTTCAGGATATAAAGCGTGTAAAACTTCAAACGATATATCGTCGTCTTTTATCGAGGCATATATATATATATGTATATATATATATATATATATATATATATATATATATATATATATATATAGGCGAAGGACAAGGAAAGGTGGACCGTCCGACACCGTGGAAAAATTCGCCTCTATTTATTCTCATTTTGTAAAGTAATCGATATATCACGTACCAAAGTACATAGCACATCGAGTAAGTAAACGATAGGACGTAGAGATCGAATGATGTGAACACGGAAAGCTCTAAAGAAAACTGATATGAATAGATAGATAGAGAAAGAGAAAAACAGAGACAGACAGAAAGAGAGAGACAGAGAGAGACAGAGAGAGAGAGAGAGAGAGAGAGAGAGAGAGAGAGAGAGAAACAGAAAGAGAAAGAAAGAGAGAGAAAGAGAGAGACAGTGGGATTAAAATGAACGGGCGAGAGTACTCACATATGGTCCCGGGAAAGGCGCATGCATCCTCCGTCTAACTCTGGAGTCCGTACCACTAGAGACAAAAACAAAAGTAGAACGAAATGCGCAAACGAGCAATTATACGCCTCCTGCAATCGTCGAATAAGAGAGACAGAAAAAAAGAGCGCAATACATCCAGCCAGCCGCACATTGCACGCACCGAAATCTATTTATGCGTAATGTATACACGTATGCTAATGATATATAAGTATATATATAGTCATATATACAATATGCAAAAGTTAATGGGGTCTTCTCGTTCCATCATCATCGACTTCGACGTTGTACATTTTCGTCGAATTGACCATCGAGATGTCAATCGCGACATCATTCAGAAATATATATATATATATAACGGATATATACTCGTTGGTCCGACCAAACGAGTGTGTGTTAACGTTTATACGCTGCTAACTGCATGCCAAGCGTACTCTATGTGTATCTAACTTGTATATACACGAACACACACGCACGCACGCACGCACACACACATATATGTATATATGTTTTTACATATACCGTTGGAGGCACCCGATCTTGTTTTATCATTTTCCTTATGAGACGATGTAGCGATCTTAATAAATTAATAGAAATTGTTTCTTTTTGATCGTTATCGAATAGGAAATATTTCCAATAGTAACGTCGACTGCCTCGTTTAGTATATATACATATATGCATATATACACGTGTAAGAAATACGGCACTTCTCTCAAGGTTTCATCCTTCGTTATGAGACGTTGAAGTGTTATCAATCGAAAGAGGGAAGAAACGTTTCAGTGAGCGTATTTTCATCGGAGCACTCATCGTATTTGATTAATAAAGGGAGAACGTATTTCTTTCATGAAATTTTTCAATCAAGCATTTTTTTCTTCTCTCTTCGACCATTTTTACCGATCGTGTGTGTATCGTTTTGGCATTGTATGCGTGTTCAAACGAGCTATGATGCTGACTCACCCGGCCATTGTCGAAATCTCGACCACCACCGATCGTCAGTCTGGCTTTCGCCTTCATTGCGTCCGACAATGGTATCTGAAAGAAGATAGAACGAGTTTAATTTACTCGCGAGTTAATAATAAAGAACGATGATCAATTTGGATAAAATGATACGAGTACCTTCGCTCTGGTAGCTTCGGTGTGCGACTTGTAACAGAATTCAAGGAGAGCGACAGCCAATGCCAGGAGAAGTCCACCTATGAGAATGTAAAAAATTCCAGCGACGTTACTGAGAGATAATTCGTTTCTCGAAGCGTCCTGCTTGTCGCCGTGCCTGCATTCCGTTCTATCGTACCACCATCGATTCATCAACTTTGTTAATTCTCCGCTTTCCTTCAATGACAGCACGGCTAAGTTGATGGAATCTCTGTGAAATTGGAAAGAAAAAAGAAAAGAATTTATTGATCGTTCGAACGAATTTCAAATGATCACGTTTACGTGATTTCATAGTAGAGAGAGAGAGAGAGAGAGAGAGAGAGAGAGAGAGAGAGAAAGAGTTAACCTCGATTGGCATCGATCTAACGATCGTTCTGGTTAAAGAATAAAGACCTTATGTATATAGGAAAAGCTCGTTCATGATGACTTTAAGATAAATCTGATGAACGGATAGATAGGAGCGTAATAGCGAAAGAGGAGAGGATGATTTGCAAATAACGTATGGTTCCAAGAAGATTAGATTCAACCAAGTTCGCGGACCAAAGTCAAACGAGAACGATCCGATTGATTCGAGAAAAATCGGAAGAGAGAGGGAGAAGAGCTTTTGAATCGGGATAAATTGACGTTACATTATTAAAAATAGGAAGAAATAGAGAGGAACGAACAAAGAAAAAAAGATATAATTCATTTTCCTTATAAACAGAATGAAAGAACGGTAAATATATTTGACCGATTATAGAACGATTCCTTTCAACGTTCGCTCGGAGTTTTCTTCAAGGAAGAACGATAGAAATGACGGTGAACGAAATACGATAAAAAGAGAAGCAAAGTATGCTTCCAAGTTGAGAACGTTCTCTAAAGGTAATGATATGGAAAGAAGTGTATGCACATTTTTCTATGCTAATTGAACGTAATGACCCGCGCCACCCTTCCCTTCTCTCCGAAGGATACCAAAAAAATACCATGGCCAACAGGAAATATACTTGCTTTCCTCTTAACGCCTCGTTAATTGTTTCTTCAATTCTCATCAACGAATTTAAAATTGAGAGGAACGAATCACGTTTGTGTTATCGAAATATGTGATTTGAAATATCTGATAGAAAAAAAATTGATGGAAAAAGAAAAGCTTACCTCAAAGGAGAACCGAGCGGAGTCGCAACACCAAAACCCTTGGCATCGAGATTTCGTCCAACTTTCATTGTGTCGCAGGGCAATCTCTCGTTGATGTATTCGTTCTTCGGACTCTCTATCAGTAGAGCGTACTTTCCCTTACTCGTTCTTACTCTCCTTATTCCTTCGTCGTAAGTTTTAACGAAGACTTGCTTGCGCGAATTCATAAATTCCCACATCTTACTGTATAGACTGATTTGAGATTTCTACGGGTATACATGGGTTAGAAGAAGCAATTATTATTTATCAAATATATATTTGAAACGTCATGGGGAGGCATCGTTCGTCTTTGTAGATCGTACGATTACTTACTCGAAAAAAGTCCCGCGTAGAGCCGTGAGACAACGTTCCATATTGTACTTCCGTTTGCGAAGCGAGGTCTTCCGGCGAATTTATTGGAGCTACCATCCTTTCGACCGTTAGAAAGGCAGCGAGGTTCGCGGTGTAGGACGATATCAGGATCAGAGTGAAGAACCACCAAACGCTGCCGACTATTCGGCCGGATATCGACCTGCGTCGATAAAGATGCGATAAAGATTAAGATTGATCAAAATCAAAATTATAGACTCGATCGATATCTCAGGCAAATTTTATTACTTTATTCGTTCGTCCGTCCGTCCGTCCGTCCGTTCGTTCGTTCGTTCGTTCGTTCATTTTCCTCTTGTCTTGGTCTTTCTTATAAAATAATATCAAAATTCATGGGACTCGATAAATCGTAGCACAAAGAATTCGTTCGAATGCGTAGAATTTTCTTCAAGTTTCGAGCCAAAAGTGGAAGACCCGTAATCCGATTATGCGAAAGAATATTCAGTCATATTTAATAACGGATGATTCTCCTTATAAGAGGAAGGGTGATCGTCGAGAAGAAAAAAGAGAGGAAGCGAGAGAAAGAGAGAAGAGGGTGTACGACGGATGCATAAGTTTCCGGAAAATTTACAATTCATATCATAACCACGGGAATATTTAAACCATTAATCAAGGAGCCTGCCGCGTTAGATTCGTGGCGGTCGCGATGGTGGCCACTCGACTACGACGGAATGTAAATTAATTGAGACCTAGTTTCGAAATGAGCACGCGTTCGCTCTCTCTCTCTCTCTCTCTCTCTCTCTCTCCCTTTTTCTCTCCTTTCTCTTCGCATGGATGACGAGCTAGAAGTGCCAGGTATGCGCACGCACTGTAAGCTCGAGTAAAAGCACGTTTTGCGAGGTTTCAACGAAGAAAAAAGAGCAGCTTCGAACTTTCGACCTATATAACTCTTTCCTAGTCGAACTTTTTCGAACGCTAACGAACGTTCCTACACTCTCCTCTCTCCATTTATTTTTTCGATCGATAAAACGAACGATCACGACATCGCACTTACAATTTTTAACCTTTCCCCTAATTCGTAATTTAATCGAAATCTCCAGACATCTCGGCGCTCTAAACCTTTGAGGTTGCGATCGAGAAAGAAAATGAAATAAGAGAAACGAAGG